TTCATGTGCCGAACCTTGGCTAAACAATGCGACTACGTAGAATTGCCAAAACATTCTCTTGAACGGACCCGGTGCCATCTATGGCAATGGTTACCGCTACAGGCCGGGTGGCGATGTACGTTTTAGGCTCGCTGTTCGATTTTAACTCACGTTGTCTCCGCAGCTCACCTTGAACCCGAACCGCCCCCGTCTCATCCGGTTCCAGAACTGCAACGAGTATGTTCCGACCCCGACTTAAACCCGATTTGACTCACCTGTATCTGTAGCTGCGAAATCACGGCGGTGACCCTCTACGATTCTCCGCAATTCCATGTCACAATTATTGGTAACAAGTAAATTCATTTCGAGCCGTTGTTGAGCACCTTTTTCATGGCCTTTTAGCAACGTGGCGCATGACATGGCTATCATCGCCAGCCACATCGGTGAGACCGACGGTTTCGACATGAGCGGAAACAACAAGTGCGCTTAGTCCTTTTTTGTGCTTGGGGTATACATTTATCTTTTGACAGCTATGTGCACGACGTTTCTGTGGAGAACGGTACGTACCATTATCGGAACAATATAACGAATGATTGATTTTCCACCAGGGGATGAGGTCGGAATTTTTCTCTCGCAATAACTACGGCTGAACTTCTCTATTCGGATAGTGTGTTACCGTCAAGACGCCCACGAACGTAAATACCGGGATTGATCGTGGGAAAGATACCGAAATACTCACCATGCGCATAGGGTTTTGTTGCAGAGCGGATTACGTGCAAATGGACCGCTGGATGCAACATCGGCAGTTTTGGAGGTGGTATGTACTATATCCTTCTACACTTTCTTCGATACCGACACACGTATAGACAACACTGCCGTCGACGTGCAGAATGTTGTCTATACCGACGTGTACGAGTTACTTCCCGTCCTTTACCTCGCGTTTTTCTGAGTCGGGGCTCTGAAATGGCAGCACTATCTCCAACTCTGACGCCGGGGTCATGATCAAGTCGTACCCGGACAACATCGGAATCGTGAAAAACATCACATACAACGATTTTACTCTGGTGGGTCTTCCTTTTATTCTGTGCGTTCGCCTCCATTTACTGCGAATACAGTCTGCTGCGGCGTACCCTCTCTGTGCGTTCAATTTCCAGGTTTAGTGTTTGTGCGCTGACCTCCGGATAGACATCAGTGTTTTCTGGTAGGTTTCCCGCTCATAATGATGGTGTGGCGTGTCTGAATTCACCTCCTCAATAGGGCCGGGGACGGCGATGACACGGGCAAGCTTCAGATCTCGGACGTGACTTTCAACAACATCGCTGTACGTTAATCCCTCCCTCTGGTTACTCCAAAAATATGACCAGATCTATGCAGGGAACCGGCACGCCCACGCGTCCCGCCGTGCTCTTGGACTGCAACGCCGCCACCCCCTGCCAAAATATCAACGTGCCTTTTTATTTTTATTTCAATTGGAAAACATTATTGACCACGGCCTGCAGTTCAACGGCATATCCCTCACGGACACAAAAGCCGATTCGTTCACGCACGCGTGCGGGACGGGTCTGAGCGGTCTTCCCGCTTGCTGAGGTGGAACGGGTTAGCAAAGATATCCTAGTTGACCTACGAATATGCCCTCTGTCTTGATGAACCACTCCAACTTTTTTCACGTTGACCCAGTCGGCTGAGAATCCGAAGCACGACAATGAACACACCCCTGATGACCCGGGGTGCCACCACCACTGATCGTGAGTGCTGATGGTCTTCCCTAAAAGGGGTTCACACTGCGCATTCCGGACATTTGTAGGTTCATCTCGCCAGGACATATCCCACTTTCACCGATTTTGTCTACAAATCGACCGGCACAGTGCACATAACGCTACTCGATACTGTTCGGTGTTTTTACCCTTGGCTTGGCGTACCGTCAACCGTTACAACAATTGCAGACGACGGATCGCGAACGGGTGATGCTCGCCAGGACGCCAATAGCCTCCTCGATCTCCCCACGTCAACCATCCTGGATATGGAGAAACTTTGGCAGGTTTATTTCGCCGGGTATCCTATAGTCATCGCTCCATATACTGTAAATCAACCGCACAGCCGACGATACTACGCAACATCTTGCGATGGCGTCCCACATATTTGCCTTAGTCGACGTCTTAACAGCCACCGATTTCATCATCTTCGCGCTTACATTTCCAACGCTCTTTCGCCGACGTCTTATGCACAAGTAGTCGGCCGATTCGGTGAGGTGAATACCGTGGGGGAAGCCTAGACGCAACAGATCTTTGAGTCGGATGCCGTCAAGGCGTAGCTCAGACGATTATAATCCACTCTGGACTAGTTCTCGTGAGCCCTGCAAGCGCCAGCCTCTCCAGATGGACTACCACGGTGTCTCTTGTGGTAGTAGTCTCCCATCAGCAAGTAGCCTATCTTCTGCCGTCTTTTCGTCCTGCTGACATGTAATTAACGACAGAAATCCTACGCTCCACATCGCCGATGTGTCGAGGTTCAATTCACTCCTTTCCCGTCACTTGGTTGAATTTCCGTGGCTGTGCAACCAAGGTTGGACTGCAAGGAACGGTTTTCTTTCGTTCACATATTGGGAGCAGCAGTGCCGAAGCAAGCTCAGTGGCCATTCCTGTTCATAATTTATCAGTCGCACTCGACCCCGAGACAGTGCCTCCAAGGTTATAAAAAAACCTTTGTCAAAAAATGAGATAAGTATCCCCAATCCAGCCAACCCACAAACTCAGCCTTCCTTGCCCATACTCCTTCGATACTACCTTGCCATATGGTCAAACACGGAAATTTCTCTAAGTTTTTTTGTCTTAGTGCATACCCTTGATGGCCCCGAATGCCACCATAGTACTGAAGACTGCTACATAATCGCGAGTCGCTGATGGTCTCCCCTAAAAGGGGTTCACACTGTATCCCGGACATTGTAGGTTCATCTCGCCAGGACATATCCCACTTTCACCGATTTTGTCTACAAATCGACCGGCACAGTGCACATAACGCTACTCGATATTGTTCGGTGTTTTTACCCTTGGCTTGGCGTACCGTCAACCGTTACAACGATTGAAGACGACGGATTGTGAGCGGCTGATACTTACCACGATGTCAATAGCACCCTCGATCTCCCCACGTCAAACATCCCGGATCTGGAGAAATTTTGGTAGGTTTATTTCGCCGGGTATCCTACAGTCGCCGCTCCATATGAATCAACCGCACAGCCGACGATACTACGCAACATCTTGCGATGGCGTCCCGCATATTTGCCCTAGTCTTAAGTAACAGCCACCGAATTCGTCAACGTCGTCGATAACATTTTACCTTACCCCCTCTTAGCCCTACTTATGAACCAACCTACCCCGACTTTACCTATATTTGTACTACTCAATTAACTACAAGATACCTACTTTATCACCATCCAGCCCCTTGTCGTACTGCTATCTTAGCCTCCCCCGGGCACATACAGTTACTAGCTTGTAATTCAATCAATCAATCAAGCTAACATTTTGTACATACACAAGATGCGACTTTGCCGACGTCTTATGCACAAGTAGTCGGCCGATTCGGTGAGGTGAATACCGTGGGGGAAGTCTGGGACGTGCGACGTAACAGATCTTCGAGTCGGAGGCCGTCAAGGCGTAGCTCCAGCCAGAAGCTGACGATTATAATCCACTCCGGAGTAGTAATTAACGACAGAAATTCTACGCTGAGCATCGCCAACGTGTCGTCAGTTCAATTTCCTCCTTTCCCGCCACTTGGTTGAATTTCCGTGGCTGTGCAACCAAAGTTGAACTTTCAAGGAACGGTTTTCTTTCCTTCACTAACAGCAACGATTTGGGAGCAGCAGTGTTGAAGCAAGCTCAGTGGCCATTCCTGTTCACACTTTATCGGTCGTACTCGAGCCCCAAAGTCAGTGCCTCCAAGGTTGTAAACAAAAACCTTTCTCAAAAAAAATGAGATATTCCCGATCCAACCCAGACACAAACTCAGCCTTCCTTGCCCATACTCCTTCAATCCTACCTTGCCGTCTGGTCAAACGCGAATTTCTCTAAGACAACATCGCCGATGTGTCGAGGTTCAATTCACTCCTTTCCCGTCACTTGGTTGAATTTCCGTGGCTGTGCAACCAAGGTTGAATTGTTTTCTTTCGTTCACTAACAGCAACGATTTGGGAGCAGCAGTGTCGAAGCAAGCTCAGTGGCCATTCCTGTTCATCATCCATCAGTAGTACTCGAGCCCAAGTCAGTGCCTTCAAGGTTGTAAAAAAAACCTTTCTCAAAAAAACGAGATATTCCCGAACCAACCCACTCACAAACTCAGCCTTGCCCATACTCCTTCAATCCTACCTTGCCGTCTGGTCAAACGCGAATTTCTCTAAGACAACATTGCCGATGTGTCGTGGTTCAATTTCCTCCTTCCCATCACTTGGTTGAATTTCCGTGGCTGTGCAACCAAGGTTGAACTGCAAGGAACGGTTTTCTTTCGTTCACTACATCAACGAGTTATGAGCAGAAATGCAGAAGCCCAGCTCAGTGGCAGGTCCTGCTCATATTTTAGAGGTCGTACTCGAGCCCAAGTCAGTGCCTCCAAGGTTGTAAACAAAAACCTCTCTCAAAAAATGAGATATTCCCGATCCAACCCACTCACAAACTCAGCTTTCCTTGCCCTTCCTTCGATCCTACCTTGCAATCTGGTCAAACGCGGAAATTTCTCCAAGTTTTTTTGTCTTAGTGCATTTTTTGCCTTTCTTTCTATCCCCAATTCAACCCACTCACAAATTAAACTCAGCCTCCTTGCCCATACCTCTGTGATCCTGCCTTGCTGTCCGGTCAAACGCGAAAATTTCTTCAAGTTTTTTTGTCTTAGTGCATTTTTTGCATTTCTTTCACACAGCCACCTCCATCGAGTCGTATCTCGACCATTTTTAATTCGATTCACTTACTTCCTCGACTCTTCCGAATCAGAATCGTCCTCCCGTTATACTCGCCATCTTCTATAGTCATCGTCAGACACTGATGGTGAAGCGGTTATCATGCTTGCCTTCCATGACGCATTCCATCTAATGTCAGCAAGCGGCAGGGGTTCGACTCCCCTTCAGTGTATTCTTTTGGTTTTTTTCCCTCGCGCTACTACTACTACTACTACTACTACTCTTTTGAATCCATCTCCCATGCCCACCCACCGCCATAATGTAATCGAACCATGTATCCATAAATCCAAACCGTCCGTCCGGCGAATATATCGTCAGTAGCATATATCTTCTATTAGCATCCACCCAGCCTCCGCGCGCATATACGCAGATCCACGCCCACAACACACCACACGGGCCACACACGACGCGCTGCTATCGCAGCTCCACGGGCCACTCGCTCCGCCTTCGCCAGCGCCCGTCGGCGTCGAAGCGCGGGTTGGGGCGGTACGAGAGGCCGTCGCCGAGGGGGGCGCCGATGGGGACTGTGGAAGTGGTTAGCGGGGACGATGGGGCGAGAGAGGGAGAAGTAGAGAATAAGAAAGAATAGGGGAATGAAGGAACGAGGACGAGGTGGAGCAGTGGAGCGCGAGGGTGAGGCGGGGGGGAGGGGGACGAGGGGGAGGGGAGGGGAGCAACGGGAGTGCATAGAGGACGAGCGACAGCGTATGGGATGGGAAAGGAGGAAAGATATTACGACGACAGAAACGGGACACGGGAGGCGTGGGAGGAAGAGCGACGAGACATGGAGGGAAGGAGAGGGAGGGAGGAGGGGAAGAGGGATGGGATGGAAGGAGGGAGAGAATAAGAAGGATTGGGAAGGGTGCCATGAAAGGAGGAAGGACAGAACGACGACAGAAACAGGACGGACATGGGCGCGTGGAAGGAAGGAAGAGCGACGAGACACGAAAACGGTCGGGCGGGGAGTAAAAGATAACGTCGAAGGCAAGCAGGGACGATGGGAGGGAGGGCGGAGGGAGAATGAGAAGGAATGGAATGGTGGAAGGAGGGGAGGAAGGACAGAACGACAACAGAAACGGGATACGGGAGGCGTGCAAGGAAGAGCGACGAGACACGAAAACGGTCGGGAGGCGTGGGAGGAAGAGCGACGAGACACGGAGGGATGGGATGGGAGGGAGGGCGGAGGGAGAGAATAAGAAGGATTGGGAAGGGTGCCAAGAAAGGAGGAAGGATAGAACGACGAAAGAAACAGGACACGGGCGCGTGGAAGGAAGAGCGACAAGGGGAGGGAAAAGGGAAAGATGGAAGGAGGCAGGGAGGGATGGGATGGGAAAGGAGGAAGGAGGAAGGACAGAACGACGACAGAAACAGGACACGGGAGGCGTGGAAGGAAGAGCGATAAGACACGAAGATGGGAGGGCGGGGAGTAAAAGATAACGTCGAAGGCAAGCAGGGACGACGGGGGCGAGAGATAGGGAGAGGACGAGGAGGAATGGGGAAGGAAGGCGCGAAAGAGGGTAGCGGAGCGATTGGGGTAAATGAAGAACGAACGAAGCGTCGAGCGGCGGAAAGGAGAGGAATCGCGATAAAACCCCCCATGAAACCTCAAAGAACGAGCGAGAACAAGACACTCACAAACCCACCCCCACACACTCGCGCCCATCACGTCCTCCCACCCCGCGCGCGCGGACCCCGCCCACCACAGGTTCCCCTCCGTGTTCGGCGCGCCCCACTCGGCGTCGTAAGCCGCGCGCGCGCGGCGTTTTGCGCTGTGCGGCAGGGTCAGGGTCAGTGTCTGTATAAAGTAAAAAATGGGGATAAGGAGGGAATGGTCAAACGGGAGCCCAAGGAAAGACATCCCAAGGAAAGAAAGAGACACAAGCCGCGTAAAGAAAGAAAGACACAAGCCACGAAATCAACCCACTCACCCAACCTCCCACCACCGCACCCCCGCCTCCCTGAGCCCCGCGCCCTCGCGCTCCGTGAGGCGCTGCACGGCGAGGCTCTCGACGGTCGTTTGGGAGAGGAGGACGAGGCGCGTGTGCGCGGCGCCGAGGGAGAGGGTGAAGAGGGCGAAGAGGGCGGCGCTGGGGGGGGGGGGGGTTAGTAAAAGTTGAATGGGGAGAGAGGGAGAGGGGGGGAGGGAAGGGGGGGAGAGGGAGGGGGGGTGGAGAAAGGGAGGACGGGGATGGGGAGGATAATGGACCGCGGACCGCGGAAGTGGAACGAAGGGGGGCGGGGATGGGGAAGAGGGGAAGAGGCAGGGAGTATGAGTATGGCGTTCAGCGCGAGGGAAAGGCGCCGGAGGACAGGGCAGGAGCGGGGTAGGCGGGATTGAAGGAGAAGAGGGCGAAAGGAGCGGCGAGAACGAAAGGCGCGGGAGAACGGCATTCGGAGGGACGGGGACGAGGACGAGAAAGTTTGGAGAGAACGAGGGAGGAAGAAGGGGAAGAAGGGGGAGCGACAGTAGGAGTATGGCGGTCGGCGCGGGGGAAAGGCGCGGGGGCGGCGTTCGGAATAAGGCGGAGGGACGAGGACAAGAAAGTTTGGAGAGAATGGGGTAGACGGGAAGAGCGGGAGGGGAGGGGGAACGGGAACGACTGCGAATGCGAGAACGAAATGCGCACGAGAGAGGCATTCGGAAGAACACGGAGGGACGGGGACGGGAGGGGTAGACGAACGAGCGGGAGGGGGATGGGGGACGGGAACGAAAGCGACTGCGAATGCGAATGCGAAGGGATGGACGGGGCGGAATAGTGAGGACGGAGTAGTAAGGACGGATGATGGGAGAGGCGCGATGTCGGGCGAGGCGAGGGTCGAGAGGGAGCGGGAGCGGGGTATCCCAGCAGTGGGGTTCGCGTTCGCGGGAGGGATGAGCGGATGAGGGGACGGGGGAGGGAGGAGGGGACGAGAGGACGAGAGAAGGCGAAGGGGAAGGGGAAGGAACGCAGGGACGTCCGCGGGAGGGGATGAGAGGACGGTGGATGGTGTGGTATGGTGTGGGATGGAATGCAACGGAGCGGCCGAGCGACGCCCCGCGGAGAAGGGATGCGGATGTGGGCGTGGATGTCGGGAAACGGAAGTAAGAGTACGAGTAGGGACAATGGGATTGAATCGGATTGGAAACGAGACAAGTGGGAGCCAGGAAAAGCAAGCACGCACAGCGCGATAATAACCACCTCCTGCGGGTCCACGTCGCCCTCGCCCACCGCTTCCCGCCCGGAGACGTTGACGTTAAACGCGAGCAGCGACGCAAAGGTGTACGTCGTGAGCGCGAAGGTGGCGTAGGAGAAGTTGAGGAAGAACTAGGGGAGGTTTATTGAGGTGTAAAAAGGAGACAATGATAAACGAACGCACCTTGTGGTTCCGCGCGCCGACGCACTGCCCGATCCCTGCGATGCATAAAATCATTAATAAACCGCTGGCGAGAAAGAACGAGGACGAGGAGGAGGGGGAGAACGATAAGGAGAAGGAGAAGGAGGAAAGGGAAAGGACACGCACAAGGACAGTGGTGGTCGAACTTGAGGATGCACTAGGGGTGAAAACGGCAATTAGCACGCGCATTTAGAGAGAGACACGCGCGACGCGAAAGAACAATATACACGCGCGGTGAAGAAAGCAGGAAGGACGAAGCACGAAACACGCACCGTCCCACAAACGCGACAATGATGCGCCCTATACGGTTTCACGATCGAGCAGCGCGCGCACCAGCGGTGCGGCGGGAGGAGTGCGGCCGTCGTCGGCGGGAAGCGCCCGCGCGGGGTGCGGTGGCGTTTGCGCACTGGGGCGGGGGCGGGGGCGTTCCCGTTCGCGTTGGCAGTCCCATTCACAGGGTTGGCAGCCCCGTTCGCAGGCAGGGGCAGCGACGTGCCGGGGACGTGCGCCGCAGGGGGCTCGGGCACCGCACCCGCACCCGTGTTTTTGTTCTTGTTGTTGTTATCGTTAGCATTCGAATACGCCTCGTACGCAGGGCCCCCGATGCGCCCGGCCTCGATGTCCGCGAGCGACGCCCCGTCGTCGTCGGGCGCGAACTGCGGGGGCTCCCACTGACCGCGGGGGAAGAGTGGTTGCGGCGTTTTGGAGACATACTGCGGGTGGTGAGTACATGCATAGAATAGGAATAGGGAAGGAAGGAAGGAGGGCACGCACGTCGCAGGCGTTTCCCGGGGGCGTGATGATTGCCTGCGGAGGCGCGTTAGCTTGGATTTCGGGGGCGCACTCAGGAGGCCCTGCAGAAGAACGACGAACCTTAATATACGCCCACACCATCCACCCGAACAGCGGACACCACCCAACCAGCAGCCCGACTACGCCATCGCGAGTCAATCCACATCCCGCCAACAAAGAAACACCACTCACTCCCATCCGCCCTTCTCCCGCCATGCATCAGTCGCACCGCAAACCGCCCCGCATACACGTACGCGGTGTACCCCATGATCCCGAGCACGATGGGCACCATCAGCTTGCGCACGACCCACGTCTGCGGCTTGCTCCGCCGCGCCTCGCGCCGCTCGCGCGCAGTGTACCGCGCCTCCGATATCGTCCCGCAGAGCGTACCCTTGGAGGGAACGTACTTGTCCGCCCCATTTTCGGTGGTCATCGAGGAGAGGAGCGAGCGATGACATAACCGGCAAGCTTGGCCACAGTCCGGTCCGGGTCCTGAGAAAAAAATTTGTGGACGACCAGCGGCATTTTGAGCCACTTTAATTCTATCCAGCAAGGCTTCCTCGCCTTGGTGCCCGTCCGCCAAATAAAAAAACAACGCCGTAAGTAGCATTATCAATCAAAAAGCCACAAAAACGACGCGAGCAGGATTTGAACCTGCGCCCGGAAACCGGAACAGATAGGTTCAAACCCTGCTTGCGCTCGGAGGAAATGTTCTAATCTGTCGCCTTAACCACTCGGCCATCGCGCCTTGCGTAGTGTTGCTCACGGATAGGTAGCTAGGTCCAGGGCGGGTGAGGATTAAATAACACCACCACCTCGGTTCGCCTGCACTCACCTGGTCCCATAAAAGGCAGCCTGCTGTGATTGGGGAACACAATTCCCCACAGTCAAGAAGTGATCCTCCCGCAGAAAGAAAAGAAAAGAAAAATACGCATCGTCTATATAGATGCCCTGGCACCGAATCGAACGGTAACTCCTGTGGTGATATCATTGGCAGTAATCAATGCAGGTGTGTTGATAATGACGCCAGGTCTTGCTCACTGGTAAGCTGGGTGTGAAAATACCCACCAATACCCATTCTTTTCTTTCTTTGGTACAGTACCCAAATTCAACCTATGGATGTTTCCTCTGCAGCATCAAGATGTAACCAGGGAGAAACAGACATACGATCACCTTCATAGCATTATCAAAAACAAAAGTGCGGGGTCTGAACCAAAAATCGTCCCTCAATCCAGATGACCTGGCCCTGACTCGAACAGGGAGCTCCTCTTGAACTCGTTCCTCAAATGAGATTTGCAACAGGTGTGCGAGGATTACACCACCAGGTCTTTCCCCTCATAGCTCAGTATATGGTGAGTAGCCCAACTCATTGACTAGGTATCCTCCGATTCACAAGTCTCCAGAATACTACCTCAATGCTCATCCCACAAAAAGCGTCGATTAATGCAAGTCAAAGCCAGTAAGAAGACATACAAAGAGGCAAAACAAAGCTTGAGATACATCACCTAGCCCCGAATCGAACAGAGGTCTCCTGCTTGAATACCTTCCTTGTGACCAAGTATAATAAGCAGCAGGTGTGTTACCAAACACCACCAGGTCTGTTCTGTTTCAGTACTCCTGGTATCTGAATGTGATGTGGAGCTAAGAAAGACAAATTCAACCGACCACACAGATCTTCGTTTTTGGCCCTTGAGGTCTGAGCAGATGCTAAACTACAGTATCGTAAAATCATATCATTTAAAACACTGGCATATCTCCGAAACCTGCATGGTTGGTTGAACCCGCCGAATCAACCTGAATTTCCTTATCTGGCAACTTGGTTTGAATACCCCAATTCTTCTTCACCCACATCAACATTCACCCTTTTGTGGAGGCCAAAATCTGGATTTCTCATCACGAATATATCAAAGCCAAGGGCTGAGTTCACAAAGAAAAAAAGAATGTTACATTATACCATGGTCCATGCATGACCCGGCCCCAATCGAACGGGTATCTCCTGCTTTAATCGACTGTAAGAAAAGGCTACACAACACCAGGTCAGTTCAGTGCTCACTCGGCCATCGTGCCCTTAGGAATGGTGCTCTCAAATAATGAATTTGGTCCAAGGCAGGTGAGGATTAAATAACTAAGTATCCCAATCTATACAGTGCGCGCAAATGAATATTTGTACAAAGGAACCCTCATACCAGGAACTCACCTGTCCCTCATAAAAGCAGCCGGCTGTGATTAGGGAACACAATTCCCCACAGTCAAGAAGTGTTCCTTGCGCAGAAAGAAAAGAAAAGAAAAATACACATCGTCTATCTGGATAACCTGGCCCCGAATCGAACGGGGAACTCCTGTGGTGGTAGCATGGCTGTGCAATCAGGTGTGGGCTTCTTATCCACCAGGCCTTGCTCATTGCCAATCTAGGTGTAAATATACAAACCGATACCTATACTTTTCTTTCTCTGATACAGTACCCCAATTTAACCCATGGATGTTTCCTTCAAGGTGTCAAGATGTAACCAGGGAGAAACGGACATACGATCACTTCATAGCATTATCAAAAATGAAAGTGCAGGATCTGAAGGAAAAAATCTTGCGTGTCAATACGAATGACCCGGCCCTGACTCGAACAGGGAGCTTCTGTTGAAACCGTTCCTCAGAATGAGAATTGCAACAGGTGTGCTAGCGTTACACCACCAGGTCTTTCCCTTCGCTGCTAAATTATTATGGTGAGTAGGTGAACCCATTGACTACACATCCTCCAATTTGATTTATGTATACAAGTTCTCAGAATATTATTGGTTCCAGCCCAACTCCGCACTCAAAGGACTAGAAATCCCATTCTTCACCCACAATAAGCATCCTGAAGAAAAAAGAAAATCTTATGACCTAGCCCCGAATTGAACGGGGAGCTCCTGTTGAACTCGTTCCTCAAACGGCAATTGCAGCAGGTGTGCTAGCATTACACCACCAGGTCTTTCCCATCACAGCTCAGTATATGGTGAGTAGGCAAACTCATTGACTGGGCATCAATGCATCATCCACTGAGTTTGCAGAGTATTTTTGGTTCTAACCCAACTTGGAACTAAAAGGTTAGATGCTGTGATAAAAATCCCATTACTTCATCTTCAAACCACTATCAGTGTAAATCATAGTCCAGTAAGGCATACAAAGAGGCAAAACAAAGCTTGAGATACATCACCTGGCCCCGAATCGAACAGAGGTCTCCTGCTTGAATGCTTTCCTTGCCACGACCGAACATGAGCAGCAGGTGTGTTACCAAACACCACCAGGTCTGTTCTGTTTTGGTGCTTCTGGTATTGAATGTGATCTAGAGCTGGTATGTAAGAAAGACAAATTCAACCAACCACACAGATCATCATTTTTGGCCCCTGAGGTCCGAGGTAGGTCGGCAGGTATATTCCGGCGTGGTCCCATTAAAAAACAACCGGGGCCCATACTACATACATTGCGTCAGGTGTAGAGATGTACAGTATTAAAAATTTCAAGGGACTGTATCCCCGAAATCTGCACAGTTGGTTGACCCGCCGAATTCAACCTGAATTTCCTTATCTGGCAGGCTGGTTTGAGTACCCCAATTCTTCTTCACCCACATCAACATCCATGCTTCTGCCGAGGCCAAAATCTGTATGCCTCCTCAGGAATATATCAAAGCCAGGGGCTTATTTCACAAAGAAAAAAAGAATGTTACGTTATACCACGCATGACCCGGCCCCAATCGAAGGGTATCTCCTGCTTTAATCGACTGTAAGAAAAGGCTACACAACACCAGGTCAGTTCAGTGCTCACTCGGCCATCGTGCCCTTAGGAATGGTGCTCTCAAATAATGAATTTGGATCAAGGCAGGTGAGGATTAAATAACTAAGTATCCCAATCTATACAGTGCACGCAAATGAATATTTGTACAAAGGAACCCTCATACCGGGAACTCACCTGTTCCTCATAAAGGCAGCCGGCTGTGATTAGGGAACACAATCCTCACAGTCAAGAAGTGTTCCTCGCACAGAAAGAAAAGAAAAGAAAAATACGCATCGTCTATATAGATGCCCTGGCACCGAATCGAACGGTAACTCCTGTGGTGATGGCATTGGCAGTAATCAAAGCAGTTGTGTTGACAATGACACCAGGTCTTGCTCACTGCTAATCTCGCTGTGAATATACAAACCAATACCCATTCTTGTCTTTGGTACAGTACCCAAATTCGACCTAGGAATGTTTCTTCCGAGACGTCAAGATGTAACCAGAGCCTGGATCACCTTCATAGTATTATCAAAAACAAGAGTGCAGGGTCTGAACCAAAAATCTTCCCGCAGTCAATCCAAATGGCAAATGACCTGGCCCTGGCTCGAACAGGGAGCTCCTGTTGTACTCGTTCCTCAAATGGGAATTGCAACAGGTGTGCTAGCGTTACACCACCAGGTCTTTCCCCTCATTGCTAAGTTATATGGTGAGTAGGCAAACTCATGGACTATGTATCCTCTGAAATGATTTACAAGTTTCCAGAATATTGTTGGTTCCAGCCCAACTCCGCACTCAAAGGATTAGAAATCCCGTTCTTCACCCACAATAAGCATCCTGAAGGCAAAAATACCTACTCAACGTCTTATGACCTGGCCCTGACTCGAACAGAGCGCTCCTGTTGTACTCGTTCCTCAAATGAGAATTGCAACAGGTGTGATAGTGTTACACCGCCAGCTCTTTCCCCTCATTGCTGAACCGTCAGGTTTGGCTACTACCCTAGGGAACTTGCCTATCCGCCAACATTTGCTACAAGGACAAACAAAGATTTAGTCATGCAACATTGGTCATTGCGAAAATAAATTGAAAGCAAGTGGGGTAAGATATAGAAATAAAATGCAAAGGACATGTTCTTCAACTTATTACTGACTTGAATGCTTGTGCATGAGCCTGCTTCACAACCTGGAACCAAAGCACTGAATTCAATTTTCTGTTATTAGTCATTTCTGCTTCATGTTCGGGCCAAGTATCCGAGAGTTGCTGATCTGGCTTGTCACGGCTGGAGACAACGTGGTGACACGACCACGTGCCGCAAAAGGGTATGCTCAAGGACGTGTTTCTGAGGTGCATAAGCCCCTTAGGCCGACTCTGATGGTATATATTACTCTGTAAACCTTTTGTGTAATTGGGACAATGTATTTGATTTGAACACCTGCAATTTTTTTTATTCTTTGGAAAACCTGGTTCATAGCATTAGTAATGTTTGAGACAATCTTGCCCATCCCACGCATCCGATGCCCAATTTACAAGCATGGTTTGGTTGACTGTTGGTACAGTATGTTGCAATCAGCAGCTATGTCGGCCGATGGCCTGCCAATTTGATGTTAAGGCAGCTCTGGAAACAAACATTTGTGGGAGTATCCTGGTCGTAACCTTCAGAGTTCAGGCTGTGGCACAGGAACATATCCTTGGGCAGTGGTTACTTATTTCGCCTTCATGCCCGGATCTCTCCTGGGTCCAGACCAACATGGCTATTCAATTGGAAGTTTGCGGTTCTCAACCAAATGCTACTCAGACAGGCCAGGCCAGGCCACCGTTGTAATGACAATATAGCATGAAGAGACCTCTTGAAAGCGTTGGAAATCAATCAGAGGAAAATCTTCCATCTTGTGTGTGAAAATCCAACGAAACTCTTCAAAGTTATGTGCGAAAAATACGGAGTTATGAGTGAATTTAGCATGTTGCCAAATAAAAAAATAAAAATAAAAAAAAAAAAAACCCATCTGCATGCAGGACTTTCCAGAGGAGTGCACAACTAATTGGCTTGCAAGTGAAGGACACTGTCATTCAATTTCTGGTTATGCAATGTTGTGTATCATGAAAAAAAGATTCCTCGCCACATGACTCCAGACTCCAGTGAAAAACAAAAGGGCGTGCACACTCTGCGACAGGAGATTTTGATCCATCTCTGTTCAGAAGCCTCTCTCATTCTCAAATCTGAAGCAGACTCTGCAGGAGTACACAGTGGTCAAGAATGCCTTTAGCTAATAGTAGTCTAAAATCATAAGATTCAAAATCTCCACTTGTACCGCGAATTGGCCGGGTGGTTTCTCCCAAAGGATGTGATTCGTCACATTTTCTGTAAATAAAAAGCTCTTGCTCTCCACAAATATTATTCTACAATGAACAACAATATGGGAGGATTCAGGACTGAATTGGGGGCCACATCTCATCTATCCCATCCCAGAGGTTCAGCACCCGCCTCGAAGAGGCCCAATCCCATGTCATTGCTAAGCTATTATGGTGAGTAGGCAAACCCATTGACTAGGCATCATCTGATTTGATTTACAAGTTCCCAGAATATTGTTGCTTCCAGCCCAACGAGACCTATCCTCAAAGCTCACCCCACATAAAACATTGATTAATGCAAGTCGTAGCCCAGCAAGGAGGCATACAAAAGGGAAAACAGAGCTAACACCTGGCCCCGAATCGAACAGAGGTTCCCTGCTTGAATGCTTTCTTTTTGTGGATAAACATGAGCAGCAGGTGTGTTACCAAACACCACGGGGTCTGTTCTGTTCCAGTGCTCCTGGTATCTGAATGTGATGTGGAGCTGGTATGTAAGAAAGACAAATTCAACCGACCACACAGATCTTCATTTTTGGCCCCTGAGGTCCGAGGTAGGTTGGCAGGTATATTCTGGCGCGGTCCCGTTAAAAAACAACTGGGGCCCGTACTACATACATCGCGTCAGGTGTAGAGATGTACAGTATTACAAATTTCAAGGGACTGTATCCCCGAAATCTGCACAGTTGGTTGACCCGCCGAATCAACCTGAATCTCCTTATCTGGCAGGCTGGTTTGAGTACCCCAATTCTTCTTCACCCACATCAACATCCATGCTTCTGCCGAGGCCAAAATCTGTATGCCTCCTCAGGAATATATCAAAGCCAAGGGCTGAGTTCACAAAGAAAAAAGAACGTTACGTTATACCGTGCATGACCCAGCCCCGATCGAACAGGGTAACCCCTGCTTTAATCCACTATACGAAAAGCAGGTGTGTGGCTGCACACTAACAGGTCATTTCAGTGCTTTCTGTTTGAAAATAAGAGCTGAAACTGGAGGCTTGGCACAACCGGACTACTTGTGTAAGAGCACCAAAATCCGGTTGAACAAATTTGAAGTTCACTGTGGACAGTCTGCTGCCTGTAACCTCAGGAACTGCAGACTACAAGTTTTGAGCTCTGTTGGATGGGTCCCAACTCATGTGTCACTAGCACACTGGTTCTACTCACCCACTCCCATGTCACCTCAAAGAATCTGTTTCCCACGGTTTGATCTCGCCACACCGGCACACAGATGGGAGATATTGGTGTCTGGGTCAATCCCTCAATCAACCAATACCATAGAGGTGTTTATATATATTACAGCTGTTTCCGAAAAGCTTGAGACAACGCGAATTTTTTTGCGCGCACAAAACTTTGATGGCAGGCTAAGGATTACTGGTTTGGGATGTCCAGCCGAGATTGCCGTCGCTTGTGTGTAATCCGTTTGCCACCCAGATATTATTTCATGGGTGAGCTCCTCCCCTCGTGACACCCAGCTGAGGCTTCCTGAGAGTCTTATGAGCCTCACATGCAACTCAGGTGCCCCAGAACATATTATTGACACGAAAATTGGACTTCGTTTGGTCCATCACGAAATGTGGGCTGATCCGTGTGGGATCATCCGTGCCAAATCCGGTAATCCTTAGCTTGCCATCAAAGTCACGGTTTGTTGCGTGCAAAAAAATTCACGTTGTCTCAAGGTTTTCGGAAACAGCTGTAAGTGGTGTCTAGTTCAAAGGTTTCTCAAAAGCATTCAAACGTGATTTCATTTCAAATAGCCTCGGATAAAAAAGAAACCTAACAAAACATTATAATTCTCGCCAGACTCTGAATACACCTGACTATAAAGAAAGTTTTCTCATCTTTAAGAACTCCCCAAAAAACTCCGTTA